TGTGAAAAGCACTGAGAAAGGAACGTCTTTAAGGGAGAAACACTGACAGGAAAGAAAAATGAAAAATACAGAAATTTCCCCCCCTAAATGCTAAACTGACAGACTGTTTTGAACGTTGGAAATGAGGGCATATATTCAGCTGATTACCATTACAGGAGAAGCCATTTTCACTGTGGTGGTGCCAGGGGAAACAGCGACTGTTTTCAGAATGGTGGCACCAGTGGGAACATTGAGAACGGTGCCACCAGAAGAGGGCGGGATCTTCTGTGTGGCTGCAGCTGCAGCAGCTAAAGCTGCCATTCCACTCATCTGAGGGCTACTTCCAATTGGCTGTAAACGGAACAATTTCATTATTTGGCTAATATAAAATACATTAAAATAGAAAGCATTAAATAAAGATGGAACATGAAGGAAGTTAAACATTACGGAAAGTTGTGTGAAACTACTCATACCGATCCTTGGGTGGTTTGGGTAGGCACTACCATGCGAACACCTGGAGGAAGAGAGGTCACGGTGACGGGGGATTTCCCCGGCTGGCTTGGGCGAACTGTGACAACAGATGCACCAGTGGCAGACTGTTGGGTTGCAACCTTTAAAACAGCTGAGGACAAGCAGAAAAAGGAAATTATGATATTTTAGTTATCCAGCACATATCCTCCATGTCATCAAGGAGCGCCCTTGTTACCTGTCTGTGGTAAACACTGTGCAGATGGAGCTGCAGCAGCAGGTGCAGGGCTCTTTGGAGAGTTGATGGGCTGTGAAGGGGTTGCACTCGTAGCTGGTGAGGCTGCGGCTGGGGTCGCAGGTATGTCATACTTTTGCAGCTGCAGCAAGTAAGTGTCAGCTGTGGAAACTGCTCCCCAGCTAACCTCCAGAGAGTTTGTGTTGGCACGGACTAACTGAACCCTGGCAGGAGCATGGGGTCGCTCTGCAGGACGAAAGGTGGCAATTACAGGAATGGGAACATTTTCTCCCCAAACAAGTCACAAGTACCTTTAATGTTGCAGCAGACTCACCTGTTTCTAGATACCAAAGGTCTTTACAACAGACTTGGTTGTTCCAAGCTTTGCGATAACCGTCACGGCCGCTCCAGACATAGAGTCTGGAATTGATAGCCACAGCGCAATGGCCGGCACGAGCCCGAGGGATGTTATCTTCCAAGGTATCCATCAACACTGTTTCCCAACACATAGTGTCTGCAGAAAAAAAAAAAAACAAAACAAATGTTTAGCATCCTGTCAACTGTTTTACTCCACCGTATATTGAATGAAAACTAACAGTGAGACAAACCGAGATTTAGGCAAGCAAGAGTGTTTGTGCATTTCCACTCTTTCTCGTGTGTGGCCACTTTGACATCATCCATCACCAGAGGAACCCATCCGCCAAAAACATACATCCTGCCAAGCAAGAAAACCCAATCATGGTAACATTTCATTATTTAGGCATCAGAAATTCAAACTCTAGATCTTAAACACAAATGAACTGGGCCTCCTACTTGTTTGTGATTGTGGTGGCAGAGTGAAGACTTCGTGGAAGAGGTGCTGTACCACCTACTGAAGGTTTGTGCCACGTCAAGGTATCTAGGAACAACAAGTAAAAATTATCAAAGCTAACATCACAACATTTTAACACTTACAACCGGGTATAAACTGGATAAGATAAGCAAGCGGTCCATTAATTTGTACCTAACAAGGTGACGCTGCTACACACCACATTTAACAGAAAATTTTAAGTAAATGGTCTACTGAAAAAAAAAGTTCTTAGAACACAAAGAAATTTTACATTTATTGGAGGCAACTTACACTTCTTATTTTTTTTTAATAATAAAGAAGGTCTGCTGATGCTAATAATAATAATCAGAACCAAATAAGCTGAATTTTCTATATACTGCAAAATATTATTTTAGAATTAATGGCTATATATTAAAATCAAAATATCACAATTGTATACATCGATACAAAAAATATTCTATTTGTAAGTGATAATGGGAGTAAAAAAGTAAACCGGTTAGGAGCTGCCAAGTGTAGGGTTCACCTGTTGAAACAGTTGTTCTTCATTGATTCCTTAAATTAAGAGACAGACACCTACCAATATCAAGAGTCCAAAGATCTCCAAGACGACAACCACTCATTCCTCCATAGATTATCAAGCGAGACTTCCTGGTTGTCTTTTCTGTGTAGACCACAGCAGTGTGACTCTCTCGTGGTGGAGGCAGAACTCCGTATGTGATGGGAATATCCCAACCAACCACACTAGAACCTGGGCGAAGCTCGAGTGTGTACAAGTCATTTAGATATCTAATTAAGAAAACACAAAACAAAAAGCACAGATATTCAACACTCACGTTGCTGCCTGTGTCAGTCAAGGATGATTCTGATGAAACCCACCCCACCAACTCTTACCTGGGAATGTTGTTCTTGGGATCCTCACTGTCATTGGCCAGTCCACCAAACAAGTAGCATTTGTTACCAACGAGTGAAAAGCTATGACCAAGTCGAGGACAAGGTGGGGGTCCATTTTTCGGATTTTTGGCTTTCAGTTTTTTCCATTCCCATCTGCTGGCCTGTTACGAAAACAACGATTCAATTGCTTTTTTTAATCTATTTATTAACAGTTGTAATATTACATGGTAACTGAAGTTTTTTCTTTTAACATTTATGATGTCATACATTTTGAGCGCAGACATATCGAAACCAACAACAAACTGGACATAAAAAAAGGGAGGTATATAAAACAACAAATAAAAGTGAAGCATTCAATTGCCTTGTTGAACAGAGATAAAAGTATTATTTTTTTCTATCAGATGGGTTACCTGTAGCTCATAGAGGTCGTTGCTATATTTTCCATATTCCACCATCCCTCCAAACACCAGCAATCGTGTGCCATCACATACAAAACCATATGCAGCACAGCCCGGAGGGATATCACCACGGACGGCTGGGATAAACCACTGGTTTGTTGCTGTTATAAAAACGTAATTAAACAAGATTATTTTATTACTTTTTTTTTTTTTACAGAAAAAAAAAAACTAAAATAGTTGGTGCTGTATAAATATAACTGCTGCATAACCAGGAAAAATCTCTAATCTGCTGCAGAGATTATTTTTGAATCTTTACAGAAATATCAAAACAAACCAAAAAATCTTAAAAAGTAACAAATACTATAAGTTAACACAATTTCTATATAAATTATAATCAGGATTTTGGAGACTGTTGTAAACTTGCACACACAGAGCGATGGCTTTATTTATCTTTTTTATAAACAGGAAATATGGGACACAGGATGTGCCTAGCCAACCAACATCATCCATTTTATTTTAGCCCGCCTTTTTTGAACTTGCATTGACACACTTTCCCCAGCAGAGGGGGACTATATTAATCAAAGAAGGGTTTGTTTGGCCTGCTGAGGCCTGGTCACAGCCCAACTTTGTAAATCACAAATGTTCAATAAATTTTAAAGTTTAAAACAGCAGCCGAGTAACACTGCCCTGACCATCTCTTATAATACAAACAAACAATTGCACATTCTTTATAAACGTAAATGATGCAAATCAAAACTTACCTGTGTTGTACACATGTAACTCATCAACAATTCCCTCGTTTCCACCTCCAAACACAACCATCAATTCCTTTATAGCCACAGCTCTGTGTCCATGCCGGGGCCGAGGGACCGGACCCGACCATCCAAGAACCCGCTTCCATCGCGGCTGCAGAACCGACGGAGTGGTCCCAGACACCGCGGAACCGGGGGCAGACATGGTTTCTGTCGCAAAGAAAAAATATTGAAAACTTGTATAACTGACTCACAACTAATGCACTTATTTCCATAAAAACAACTCAAAATATGCATCAGTAGCATATAGCTGCACAACACAGAACCACTGAAGATTGTTGTTGCGGTGAGAGCAGCTGGGTCGCTAAGTAGCTAGCGCTAGCTTCGGCTAAAATGCATATATACCAGAAACTACTCTAAAACGTTTTAAAATACTGCTTACGTAAACTGTAAAACGTAGATTCGATGCTTCACGTATCTCCGAAAATGCATAATCCCTGTACTCAAAAGTATTTAAAACCATTGATTTCAATTTATGGAAGCAGCCATCTTGCAACAAACGGCCGCCGCTAACGCTGCTACCGGACAGAAAAATGGCGGAAGCGAAATCACAAGCAAAACATATGTAAACTTAGACGCTGCAACTTCAAAGAAAATCTAAACAAACACAAAAAGCCTGCCTATTAAAAAACGACCCAATAAACAAAACAACATACAGCCTAAAAACGTATTTAATTCATTTTTTACCGTTAGCACTAGCTGGCTATTTTCATGCCTCTCTGGGAGTCGCCATATTGTAGCTAGACAAATTAGCATTTTTGCAACGACTTAAACGTAGGTAATGCTATATGGAAGGTGCCGCAACAACACCGAATGAAACACATCGTCCACAAAACATAACATTTCAACAGCTATCAAGATATTTAATCAAACTAACAAGCATATAGAGGCTACGGTTGTAGCATACAAATTTACTGTTAGCCGTTGCTCGGTTGCTTTTGCCGCTAGCTACTCAGCCTAATTTAGCAATGCTAACAGGGTTAGCTTTGCGCCTAGCATCTGTCAAAGCGTCGCCAAAAGTCACAATTAAATTCGTTGCAACATTAGCTAACCTTCGCATGCAAAAGATACACGAAACAAGTATAGTTGCAGCCACACTCTTAAAACCTAGCTAGACGTAGCGTAACAATAAAAACACTATGTTATTATGTTTCACGCCGTCTCTGGAAGCAGCCATCTTTTCGACAATCGGCCTACTTCAGCGGCTCCCTCAAGAAAAATGGCCGGGCGCCCTGCCACAACAAAACACAACAAACCAGCACAAGGTGCAACAATTAGCCAGTTTTACTTACTTAATCCGATGCAGTAGATGCAAAAACACTACAATGTGCTCTTATCTTGTGACAGTAATCCAAATTCATTCGATTTGTGAAGAAGTATTTCCTCTCATGCCTGCCTGGAAGCTGCCATCTTCTTGACAACCAGAGGCGGAGGAAAATGGAAGGGAGCTAGCGTCACCCAAAGTAAACATGGCGACCAAAACCCGCTCGATAAGCATTTCACACTCCAACACATAAACCGTTATTTGTTATTTGACATTCTAAGTTAGGAAATATTTTTTTAATCTGCGAGGACAGTTCGCTGCTGTTTTAGACCAATAATATAAACTTTGTCAAATGAACATTTTTGAAGAGTTGAGCATATTATAGCAAGTTCTGTCAAAACTGTGGGGTTATTGTCCCTTAGTAAAGATGGCGACACCCATACCGAAGCTCTTTTTTTACCTATCGTGGGTGGAGGTGAGTTTATTACTGTCAAAACACAATGGTAAACCTATACCTGAGTAGAAATGGGCAACACAAACCAGAATATGGAATAAGTGCTCTCAAATTTTAATCCCGACACGCCCACGTATCGGCTACCATTATTGCGCCCTCCACTGACACATTTACTGCACCACTTTAATGGCGCTTGCTTGACAGAAAAGTACCTTAAAAACACCAACAGAGTAGGAAACATAAAATTATTAAGCCCACATCTTTGCACAAAGGTGTTTTTTTTTTTTTTACTGCTATAGTTTAATATTCTAAGTTATAGTTGACGTTTTATTTAGTAGGGCGAAAAAAGACAAAAAATTGTGTAATTATATTCCAAAACTTATTTTTAAATTATAAATTATTTTCGATTGGAGAACAATGGCCTATTACTTAAAGAAATACACTTTTAATTTATTATTTATATTAATTTATTATTTTTATTAAAATAAACTTGAATATGAATATATATATATATTTTTACAGTTTATGTGTATATTTAGTTAGAATGAACTAATAAGCACAGTAGCTCTGTCTGTATACTTTTTTTCAATATTTTGCTTCTGCCGAAAACCTGAAAAGAACCAGTATCTTAACAAAATGCTTTATTCAATAATTTAGCTTCTTATCTGCCTGCTTACCTGTTTTTTTTTTTAGCTCTATTAGTTATGCATTTATTTCACTATCAAACAATTTCCCAGTTACCTGAATATTTGATTACATACTTATCAAATAATTGATCTTGTTTAGTTACTAGCTTTTTATAAAGCTTTATTTATGTCATAATATAATATAAGGGTGAATTTTTTTTTTTACTGATTAACAAAGTAGCAGGTGTGGCTGTTTTTTGCTTCAGGAAAATACCAGATATACATTTATTTTTTAAGACAAATTTCCACTGTTTCAAGGAACAAGAACAAGAATTTAGATTCAAAGAAATATGAGAAACTGTAGCAAAAGGAAGAATATTGTTACTGTGCTGTTTAAAGATGATGTTGTTTATGAAAGTTGTTTATGTGTTCATACAATAGATATAACTTTATAGATCCCTTGATAACATAAAACATATTTCTCAGATTTAAATATACTGTGGCGTTAGACTCAGCAGATTTCCGACCAATACAGATCACAGACCAAGAAGAAAATAATCCAGACATTTACTTTATTTATCGTTCTTTAAACATGTGTCTATGTCTGTGGATTTTTTTTCTAAACCTGCCTACACTTGCAGGAGGGTTGTCCATGGACAATAAGGCGGATTAAATTCCTTTTAAGTATAAAACATCTAAAAGAGCAGCTGCATTTCTAATATGCAGGCATATATTTAGAATCTGTGTTTGTTTTGACATTAGAAAAGGGAATTGTTCTATTAAACCCAGAGAAAAATACCACATTAAAATGTTGCAATGCATTTCGGTTCCATTAGATGGCAGATTTTTGCCAGATAACAAATCTCACTGAATAGAACAAGTACAACAAAACCAAAGATTTAAGTTGGGTTTTTTTGTATTAATGTTTGGTAAAAAAAAAAAAAACAACAACAACAAACAAACAAAGTAATGATGATAATTGAGAATAAAAAAATAAAACATCCAATTTTAATTAGAATATGTTAACCCCCTTGAAGGAGCTCCACTTTGACCTCATGAGCAATAATAGATTGTCTTTAAAATTTGAGAATATAAATGTTCAACAAAGTTTTAAATGCATTTCATGGAAAGGGGAAAACACCTCAGAATTATATATCTTACGAAAGATCAAATAATTTTTATTTGGTCATGGGATTATCAGAAAATAGAAAGTGGGCAGAGGCTCATAGAATACAGGTTTTATAAAAGAACCCACCCCCCCGAAAAAAAAAAAAAAAAAAAAAAGAATCTGTCAAATTGAGAGGATCAGGGTATCTATGGTTTCAGTTTCACTTTTTCATTGGTGGTAAGTGACTGCCAGGAGTGAATTCTGTCTATTGGGCAGCTAAGCACCTGATCAGATGCAGATAAATGTTTCCCAGATAAATAACGATACTTTTTACAATTGTCCTAAAAAGAAAAAGAACAAACAAAAGCAACACAAATGTTGTCCCCACCAAACAAGTTGACTTTCCAGAACATAAAACCAAGAGAAAAAAAAATATTCACAGCAGATCACATTGTAGCCTGTATTTCCTATGCATGTTGTATCTTTGTTTTACTCAGTAAGCATGTTAACCATCAAACTATACCTTTTTTAATCGCATAACAATTTAATTTAGAATATGTTTCATGCTTTTCTAAAATATGTAGCTCAGGAAAAATAATCAAGGTCCCGTTAAAGGGGTCAATGTGCTTCCTATGCATGTTACAGGAGAAGGATTAGGGATTGACCAGCAGAAGATAGCAGACTGTGTACTAATTGATTACGTCAACAGAATAATGATTGGATAAATGGAGAGCACATTTATGAGAAGCTAGATGAAGTCCACTTTGCATTAAAGCCCCCAAATTCATTTGATTCATTTCTTTAAATAAAAATGTAAGAGAAATATCTATGCATAATCTGCAAATTTATAAATTTCCACTTAGAAAAGTTTGTCCTTATTTATACAAGGTTGCATTTATGATGTCCTTTTTAACATTTCCACTACATTTTTTTTTGAATCTGTAGTACTTTTAGCTGTCAGTATTCTACTTCATTTTAGTGTTTCCACGGTTTCTGCAAAATATGTATCAGGATAACTAAACTTAAAAATCATCCAGCATTAATTCCATGACACCTCACCATTGAAATCTACTGGGTTACCTATTCTACATTAACCCACAAGACTAAGTAGTCTGTTGAAATAGTTATCCAAATAAATACCTTGATTTTCTCATCCTCAGGCAGCTATAAACATGTAAGATAACTTGGGAACTACAGAAATATAGAAAGTACAAAGTTAAAATCATATACTGTAGATAAAATATAGGGTTTTAATAAGAGTTAAAAACATAAAGATTTCTTTATTTAAACAAGACCAAAAGATGCACGATAGGTGCAGAGTTGCGATTAGTTACCAAGAAAGTTCTCTATGATCCTGTCCATACATTTCAGTAATATGTGTATGAATTAAACATTTTATTTGATGAATAACTGAACAATTACATTTTTTGAATAATGGTGGTGACAGAGAACAGAATTAGGAAGCTGTGATTAGATTTCTATCTTGCTGTAAAACCAGAACAGCCAGGTAGTTGTTAATTATCAATATTATTTTTTTCTGGTGGCGGTGAGAAATGTAGCTGGTAATAAATCTGGAAAATCTTACATCTTCAGGAATGCTCAGAAATGCTTTAATGCACTAAGAACCTGGACCACTCTTCTGTGATGTTCTCCTACCGTAGCACCTACCGTGTACTTTCCCACCTCCTTTCCCAATCTCCTTCTGCACTTTTCTTTATGCCTGCAATCTGTTTGTAGAGCAGCACCTTGGAAAAAGCCAGACTGGTGGTCTCCTCCCTTAATAAGTACTGAATTTTTATCTTCAATATTAACTCCATTGTGATTGCCTCGTTTTTAAGTGCTTTGGATAAAATCGCATGTCTAATGCATAAACAGAAACATAGATGGTTTCATCTCTAACCTTCGTTTCCAAAATCAGAACCTCAGTGAATCTGTAATTCCACTTGTGATTCTGGTATTTTTTTGGGTATGTCTTATCAGCTTTACTCTTTTTTTCTTTGTATAAAGCAAATGTTTATTCGGATTAGATAATCCTTGGATGAGTCTTAATCTTTGATAAGTGCCAGATTCCTAGTTCTACAAGAGCTGTGAATCTTGCTCAGCCATGTCTAGGTAGGTTTGCAGTTTTGCTTAGATAACTTCTGTTTGCCCTAAATGTCTCTATAGTTTTAAATCTGGCCTATTTTGTATGTTTATTGGTTTCCAAGATTCTGTATGTTTTTTAATATTCTCAAGCAAATTTCAGACACCTTCTTAAAACAGAGTTTGTGTAGTGATTTGGCTGATTACCATTCAGTGAAACCAGGACTGCAGACTGAATCCCTGCTTTCAAATAATGCATGAGCAGCAGATGAGCTGCAACTGAGGAACCTCAAGTTGTTATGCTTCTGCTGATTGAAGCACCTTCCATTTGTTTCACTAAAATAAACCACATGAGATACCAACCATCTTTAATTTCTGTCTCTACAATCTCCCACCTTCACTTAAAGAGCCATTCCATTGCTCTTTACTGAGTTTAAATGAAGCAAATGCTTTATCAGTATATAATATTGTTTCTCCCCAGTGACATTTCATCAGGTGAGCCCTAAAAGTGCACATATTGTTGTGTGTTTTAAATTAAAATACCTGAAAACTTCAGGATGATACTGGCAAGAAGAAAGAATTGGGTTTGAGGGTAAAGGTGGTGACAGCACTGCGGTTAGCACCCTCCTGGCTCCTGCGTCTGCCCAGTGCTTATCCCAGGCTCTGTTTACCTCTAAAGGCTGATCTCGGAATGACGTCACGCCCAACTTAACCGTGTTACAGTTACAAAAGGGCGAACCATGAGATTTGCAAATTAAATTTTCATTGTTGCACTTTTTACTACCTTTGATATTCAAGGTAGCCGTATTGGATTTGAAAGTGAGGATTGGTAAGAAACCATTAAGTTTCCAAGCCAGAATTCCCAATAATACAGTTCAAATTCCACAATAGAAGCCTAACTATATAAAAGAAACTACTCACATTTTAAA